TTATATTATTCATTAAGCTAATATAATTCAAACATAATTATTTTAATTATTTTATTATATATTTAAGTGCTTTTGCTTGATGAACATAATTCATATCTACAACCATGAAATAATAATTAAATTAATCAAATTTATTTTTATAATTATAATGAATACATTTTCCTAAAAAAATTATGTCAACAAAATTACTACGAAATTGGTATTATGGTCTTATTCAAAATACATGTAATCAATCAATCATTCTACTTAAATCAATTTATATTTAATGCGTATTAGCCATTCTGTAAAGAAAAAAATAACTATTTCTTCATTTGTAAAGTTTACTAATAAATAAAGCTTAATTATATGCAAAATAGTAACAAAATTGTTTTCATGCACAAAACTATGTCAATAATGGTAATATATATTGGTACATTATACAGATTAGGCCGGGACCGGGACCACGGGCCGGTCCGGCCCGTGGCCATCTCTATACAGATATAGATATCGATTTAAATTTTTATCAACCTATATATCATTTTAGTGATTACCAAATGCCACTTATGTTACAACTATTATTTATTCTATTTATTAAAAATATATAGTTAGAATTTTATTTTTATCACAAATAAATAACTTTCAATATATATATATATATATATATATATGTGTGTGTGTGTGTGTGTGTGTGTATTTATATTTTATTGTCGATTTTTTTTTTCTAAATCAGCCAACCATCAAAACAAAACTTGTACCAAAACATTTTATATCTTTGGGTATATTATTAAAACAACTAATAAAGATGTTCACAAATCTTTGAGATCAAATTTTAATTCAATCAATCATTGGTTTAAATCTTCTCAAATTTCTTATGAACTAATCAACTTTGATTTTATTTAATAAACTAATGGCTAATAGAAATTGCCAAAATTGGCCAAAATATTTGGGCGGAAATATTTGTGACAAATATAGTAAAATGGATTGGTCCATTATATAGATATAGATATGTGTAATCAATCAATCATTCTACTTAAATCAATTTATATTTAATGCGTATTAGCCATTCTGTAAAGAAGAAAATAAATATTTTTTCATTTGTAAAGTTTGCTAATAAATAAAGCTTAATTATATGCAAAATAGTAACAAAATTGTTTTCATGCCCAAAACTATGTCAATGATGGTAATATATATTGGTACATTATACAGATATAGATATCGATTTAAATTTTTATCAACCTATATATCATTTTAGTGATTACCAAATGCCACTTATGTTACAACTGTTATTTATTCTATTTATTAAAAATATATAGTCAGAATTTTATTTTTATCACAAATAAATAACTTTTAATATATATATGTGTGTGTATTTATATTCTACTGTCGATCTTTTTTCTTAAATCAGCCAACCATCAAAACAAAACTTGTACCAAAACATTTCATATCTTTGGGTATATTATTAAAGCAACTAATAAAGATGTTCACGAATCTTTGAGATCAAACTTTAATTCAATCAATAATTGGTTTAAATCTTCTCAAATTTCTTATGAACTAATAAACTTTAGTTTTATTTAATAAACTAATGGCTAATAGAAATTGCCAAAATTAGCCAAAATATTTGGGCGGGAAAATTTGTGACAAATATAGTAAAATGGATTGGTCCATTATATAGATATAGATATAGATTAAATAATTTGTAATTATGATTATTGATTTTTTCGGTAGAAATTAATCAAGTTCTCATGATTGGATATAATATTTTTTTTGTTTTGATTGAATTTTTGGTTTGGGTTGATTAAATTTAAAAAAGTTGGTATGGTTAGTTGTTAGTGGGTATGTTAAAATAATATTTAAAATAAAATGATCAAAATTAAATGATGTAAAAGTAGGAGAGAAAAGATGTGATGTGATGGTTAGTTAAAATTATGTGAGTTGATAAATAGTGAATTAAGGTTGATGTTGTGTGTAAGAATGATTGATTGATATTATTTAATTATATTGATAATATTGATGATAGAGGAGTTGAGTTAAAGTAGAGTTAAAAAAAATAGTTGAGTTAAAAAATGATTGGATTGTTTGGGTTGGATTTATATCCAATCATGCTAAAAATTCATCGGGTCAATTATGAGGTATGCCAGCTCAGAAATTAATATTATTTTAATTGCTTCACTTAAAATTCTTTCAAATAATCAAGTTCAAAGGCTTTGCTCACCAGTCACCACAAGGTCACGAATTTTACTTTACAGAAAAGACATTGTTGGTCTGTGTTTGACGAAATGGGAAAAATGATGAAGTGTTGTACTTTTACGTACAAATACATCATCATTAGTCACTAGTCATTAGTCATCTCATTATTTCTTTAATCATTATAAGTATTGCAAAACTACCTTCCATAGTTCCATGTGAATTGGCTATTCTTTCCCGTGTACATTTGTTAAGACATATATGAACAATTCAAAGTCTGAATGCGTTTAATGGGTGATTATATATTAAATATTTTGTTTTGATTGGATTTATTAAAAAAGTTCATTTAATTTTTTCTAAAAAATTAATTTCGTGAAATTTTTAATAAATTTTGAGTTTGTATTCAATAATACATTAAACATAATGATGAAAGTTCTTGTGATTTAAAAGTAAGAAAAAGTGATTGTAAGTGATGAGTAGTTAAAAATATGTGATTGGATGAATAATGAATTAAAATTATATGATGTTTGAGAATGATTGATCTGTATTAATTAATTATATTGATAATATTGAACAGAGTTGAGTTGAATTAAAATTGAGTTAAATTTTGAGTTAAAAAGTTGTTAAAACAAATTTCGATCAAATAAACCAGATATTATTATATTCACTCAACAAATTAAAGAGCAAATTGCATTTTAGTCATTAATATTACATAAATTAATAAAATAGTCCCCTATGAATTGTATATACATAAAAAGGTTGCAATTTCGTCATCGATCCGTAGAAAATTTAAAAAATGTCGGATTACACACATGTCATCCAAGTTGTTTGAAGTTGCTGATGTGGACATGTTGAGCATATTTGATCATACTATGATCAAATAATTACTAGATTGTCATTAATGATTGACCATAGTTTGACTTCATCATAACCATTGATATGGTTGATCCCATGGCCCAGAATCATTCTTATTTCTTTCACTATCTGCAATTCTCATTGGATATTAACTCTCTACATATATAATTGCCGGTTAAACATTAGATAAAATATATTTAATTATACCTACGTGGAACTTTCCCGCAAAAAACCGTTACTAACCAACAGTAATCATTTTATTGTACACTAATTACATAACTTGTACAATAATCAGATCATAGTAATTTTAATAGGCGAAAATTAGTATAATCCAGTTTTCAAGAAATGTTGACCAAACATCTTAAAAATTTCAAATATCAGAATAATTTTAATTGACTTTAGTGGTACAACGAAACATCTTAAAATTTAATAAATAATAATAATAATAATACTTTTTAAGATAATTAATAGGTTAGGATCTCTCAAATTTATAAAAGCTACATTATCCATTTTATTTTTTGCAATCAATATAGATATAAAGTTGAATACTTTTATAATGTCTATTTTTAATAATGATTTATTTTAAATGTGATACTATTATTTAACTTATAATTTTAATATTATATACATACATATATATAACTTATGATAATTTAGACACATGTGCATGTACACATGATCGAATATTAGTTGTATCAATTGGTAGCTTCATAGCAAAATTATATTAATAATTCAATAATTATGTGTGCGAATAATGCGAACATATTGAAGGTTTTGACACAACACAAGAAAATTATACTACCTCATTTTTTTTTATAAATGTCATTTTGGCTTTATCAACAATTGTCTAAATAAATGACGTTTTGGATCTTTTGTACATATTTTCCATTATTACCCCTATCTAGCTAATAAATACACTATGTCTTTTCATATTCACTCTTTATATTTTTTCAAAACATCCATCTCTATCCTCATTAATGAGGGTTATTATTGACAAAAAAAATATTCTTAATTAGTGTGCAACTTCTCAAAACGTCATCTGTTAAAAAAAAGGAGGGAGTAATAATTACGTCTCCATAAATAATTAAATCAAGCATTCTTACATTTGTTATTTGACTCATATGTCATCTTCCCATTGAGTAATATGACATTTGTTTCGAGAACAGTATGCAGACATTTCTCCAATGTTTAATATAAGCCCAACTTTGACTAGGAACATTGTTTTATTTTCAAATGAATACACTCGTAAGCTTCCTTTTATTGCACCAGCTGATCTAGGTATGACTTATTTGAATATGATCCACGTTTGACTATCAAACATGGCTTGTACGGTACAGTCCTGAATTAACTGATTTCGAGAGGGCTAATTTAGGTGCACCGAATTGATCGTGACATGTAACAAACGTGTTAGTAAACTGTGAGACTAATTTCTTCAATTCTCTTATTTTTAACACATATATGTAGCAATATATATAAACACATACACAAACAATACTTAATGTATATGTATGTGTGTAGCTAGAATATTTTTTCAACATTTTCGTTGTTTTGTTTGCGTTATAAATTGGTGAGGACAAAAATATGAATGCTATCTTTAGTACTGCAACTCATACATATGTAGAATGCAGCTGAAATAAAATCAAGGTGTGAGAACAATACTTTTAAATGTGTGTAATGTTATTTTTATTTGTGTTTAATAATATTTTTAATTAAAATTTGTTTTTAAAAACACTACTTGATATAGCACATAATATAGCTCGGGTAAATCGGTTGTGGCTAGCTCGGTTTGTTCGAACATAAGGTAGCTCATGTGATATTCCAGAAAATGAATGATGAGTAGTCAGAATCTTCTTGCCAGTTTGGAAGCTTTCAGCAACAAAATGTGGAATTGTGCTTTCAGTTGTTGGCTATCTGGATTTTCTATAACACATATTATCTGACTCATTAATGACAACAAACGAAAACTATACTATAAAATAAAATTTGGAGAACAGCAAAATTAAAACAAAACAAAAAAAAAAGTAAAAACATATTGAAGTAACATATCAGTGAGCGCTAATATGAACAAGATATACAGAGGAATTCTGTTCTTACTTTCTCCGTCCCTCTTTCTAACAAGACCTTTTTTTTCCAAGACGGTGGCCAAAACAAATGTGATTAGAAAGTATCGAATGGAATTATATTTAGACATGATAACAAAAGCGGTACCCGACTTCATTTTGGATTACATTGATACCATTTTTACTCTGCATTTCACATAACATGCAAAAAATGATTTCATCGTCAGCCCGTGAAAATCTGCATAACATTGTTGAGCACTTGGTGAAGTGGTCTACAAAACCCGTCATTTCCTTTTTGTCAGTGTCTTCTTCAAACCCTTGAGAATCTTCCAGAACCACCACATGTTCATGATAGCAAGGGTCAATGGTACAAAAAACACCAAAAAAAATCCAATGGTGTGCATCTGCATGACCTGCAGATGATTTTTAACCTCCATAAAATATCTATCATTTTTGTTTGTGCTATTGGTATATGGTCTTCTAACATTATTTATTTGGGTATCCCAGAAGAACAAAATCGACTAGTTAAGAAGTTTGGGCCCACATAAAATCCAAATTATGCATTAATGTTTGGTGATCTTATTAACTTATTTCCAGTTTGAAAAGACATAAACAATGAGAACATAATAAAAAGCTATGAGAATACAATGTCTTGAATGTGCAGATTACCTGAGAATGGTGAAGGTATATATGGTAAAACATGTAAACAAACAAAAGAATTCTTGCCACCTGCATTTGATAAATTAACTTTAGTAAGCTTTAACGTGTAATAGTCAAAAATCAAAATGAGGTCCCACTACATTGGGATTCAAAGCATTATGCACAGAATATTATGTTCCAAACCAATAAATCTTAATACATATCAAGTATAAACCCATAAAAGGACAAAGAATGCAGATTACGCACCAACCAACCAAAAAATATCACGACACCATTGATCAGATATGCATTGGATCTCTTCAATCCAGATATGTCAAGATACCTGTACAATTACAGATAGATTCAGCAATTCAAACAATTTGCAACGTTTACTGATTTTTAGTCCACATTATTGAATCATACCATCTCATATTGATCTCTGGGGTTGTCACTTCAGATATCAAGACCATGAACGTGTACAGCTGACCCTCCCCAGTTAACAGGGAGTATGCAACTGCAATTGCTGAAAGAGAGTGATGGACAATCTGAAAATCCAAAATGAATAGAACTGTAACAAGTGGATTTCTTTTATTATATTTGATCGAGCATAGAAGAAAACTGAGACTCTTCCTTCTAAATGCCACTCCTACAAATAAAGGAATGGAAATGGAAAATGTACTATCAAATAGGACAGCTGACAACACCAAGCACCTCCATAGAGCAACTTATCATAGGATCAACATAAAGAGAAATATACACAATCTTTTGTGGTTGACTTACATACTCTACCCCACCCAAAGAAGGATATAACCAACAAATCATTCCAAGGTCTGCAATGAAGTATCCAACCGACATCTGCAAAAAAAAAATAAAAACAGAAGACCATAAGAGAAGGTGAATACCACGAGCATCCATCACCATATATAATGAAATGCTTTAAGATGTCTTGAGACAAAATTACATATAAGAACTTGACACAAGATAACTCAATCAAAATTGCTCCGATTATGCTGAGGTGCCTCACTTAACATCTTACATCTTATTATACAATATAGTGTGTGAGTACATAATCATAAAGATCTTAGAATATTTTATAGACAGGACAAGAAATAAGAATATTGGAAAGAAATGCACTACTCCTTGATCGCAGCTGACAACATGATTAATTCTTGGTTACTTCCATTCTATGATTGAGGAAAACAATACATAGTTATTGATCACATATTCTTTTCAAAGTGAACATTATGATCTTCAATTAGAATAAAGATAACAAGAAACAGTAAGTATTGCATATAACTTTTGGTTGCTTCCTGGAGAAAGTTGAGAAATCAAAGTATCTCAGAAAAGTAAGAAGTAATCAAACAAAAAATGGCCCTTTCAATAGCATGCTCAAGACACCCCGACTTCTTAGATACAAAAGTTCAGGGACCTTTGCATGTCGCAGAAGATATATCAGAAACTTACCCCTAGCGCAAATGTTGAGAGAGATGAATATCTGAACGTAATTAGGCCAGCAGAATTGTTATCAGAGAAAAGTTCAGACCAGAACACAAAGTACAAGGACATTGCTGAAATAAAAACAGCATGAAGAGTGGAAACACCACTGCAGAAAGTTCATTGAAAATGTTAGCATAGCATCATATAGTGAAAATGAATGTAAAAAACTTAACAGCGAGATGTTCACCGATTGTTCCACTCTATTCTTTGAATTTTGGTGAGGCCGTTGTAACTTTGGAAATAAAACGTGCTGACGAGCTGAGTCATATCATAGAGCTGCCATGTGCCAAACAATGACTAACATTTAATGAAGTATCAGAATAAGACGACAGGAGAAAAAGATCAGTGAGTTCTTAAATTTTGAGGGTCACTATAGTATATTGTAATACAAAAATAATACTTGATGTATGCATTTCGGAAATATAAAATGGATGAGTGTTGATGGATCATCAAGTAACACAAATGGTGAGAAAGTACACAAGTCTAATTACTATGATTTAAGCATTTATCAATATAATAATTCTGAAACTCCAAAACCAATGACGATCACTCCAACATACCAATTTACATGTAAACATTCCACTGAGGACAGAAGTGTATGGTATATAAGGATCTGCAAGCACATAGTTTCTGACCAGCACACCGGCCTTGTTTTGATAGGATTTAATTGCCAACACATTTCTTATAGAACGCGTCATTATCCTGTGCTACTGGACCATGTACATAAAACTCTTCTAGAACATGATAATTCCCAGGTTCCTGGAAAAATTCACAAACACTGAGCAGAAAAAGAAAGATCAAGACGAAGAGGAAGCGTGATAAGAGCCAAGACAATGTAGCAAAGACACAAGATGTAATTAGTAAGTTGCGCACACTCATAACCTTTCTAAATAGTTGGCATAATAACTACGTTGGTCATAGATGGGTTATATATCAGAGTACTTTCTGTTCATACCACTAAAAAGCATGCTGCAGAGTTCTACTAGATAATCAGCACAACATTTAAATGCCATTGAAGAAATCCCTTTGGCCAATAACATACTTTGCTTGATAAAACACGGATGCAATATTGAACATGTCAAAAGAAAAATGCAATACTTGGAGAAAGACTTCATCTATGTGAACTTAATCCCTTTTGTTAACATAGAACCAAAGATGTGCAGCAGGGACGTGATAGCACGTGTGTCAATGCTCTATGTTAACAAGTGAAGCAGCACCTAAAGAGGCGGTCATTAGTCATCCAGAGAAGGAAAATCTAAAAAAGTAAATAATGTGATCCCTTAATGCAGATAAAATTAAGCATGATGATTAAGCAATAATTAATGAATATATCAAGTCAATTTAAGGTTGGTTTCACATGCACAGTCAGAGAATAAAATTGAAACAGCACAGAGCCACCACGCCATATACGTCTAAAGATTACACAATGATGCTACAATAGTACAAAACTGCGCCCACAAGGAGTTTTGACGAATTCAAGTTGAATATTACATTAAACATACTGAATGATAAAATTCGTTATAATCAGTTGAAGGGGTTCAGTTCTGCTAATAATGCTGTTAAGACATGATTCTGGAACAGCAAAAAAAGTATGAAAGTAGAATTACATTACGACTGTCGATAATATTCATGAATATGTAACACCATGGTTCATGCAAATTAATAACATACCCCACCCTCAGCATAGTCAAAGCTGGACATTATTAACAGCATATCCAGTTCATATCAAGGGTTAACAGCACTAAATAGCTTGGCAACCACTCAGTAGACAAAAACCTTTATGAAATTAATGAACGATCCTGAACAGGAAATATTCAACCACAATACGAAAATCCCAGTAACACAAGGTCATTCAGTTGAAAAAAATCCAAATCTAGACCAACTTCAAGCTTGAATCCGGCAATGTACCCAATTAATAGCGAGGCACACAAACCTTATTTGCATCATATCGATTTGTGTAGCCCCTTGACACCAAAAAATCAATTAACATATCCAAAGCTATCCAAATGCACATAGAAGTAATGGCATTACCCATATATGACAGCCATTAATTTGGAAACCACCGTAACGAAACACGCAAAGATTCATCAAGATCGGGAATTAAAAGATTATCACCAAATATGCACAGCAATTTGTTCGGCATACCTAAAAGTTAACAAAATCGGGAAAGCCACGAGCGCGTGTAAGTCACAATCTTGGCCACAGCAAGAAAAAATAGGTCATTTTTCCGTTCCCCCTAAAATGGGATTGCAGATTAATTTGAAGACAACAAAAAACCTGAACGGCAAAATTAGAATAGCAGGAGAGGATAGCACAAAGCTCCGTCCAAGAAAATCAAGAGAAAGAAAAAGCTGAATAGGTGAACAAGAAAATCAAATATATCAAAAATCCAAATCAAGGGATTGTTGTGTGAATCGAGTTAATATTTCCATTTTTTGTTATTTTTTTCTTTTTCTCGGTGGTTGCTTTGTTTTGAATCTCCAACTGAAACAATAAATGAGAGAGATAAAGAAGCCATGTTTCGACTGTAGCAAAATGGGAATTGCATTAAGATTACTAAAATCACGTCTGGTGTACGGTTTGTTCGAGAGAACTACGTTACGTGTTGGGATCTTATTGGCTGTTGAATTACGCGTTTTTGGGGTGGCATTTTACTATTATCAAACTCAAATTTATTTTAGTCCACCGATGAGCATGTGAAGGATGATAACCGCAAGGTCCCATCACAAAGAATAATAATGGTGTTATAAATGTCCTAATCTTATTTCAATCTGCATATATATAAAAGATAAAATGAGAGTAGAGCATTCTTAATCACTAGTACAGAGCCCGTGCGATGCACGGGGTGCACAATTTTAAGGCTATTTATCCAGACTTATAATTATATACATGAATAAAGAAAAATGTACAGAATATATATAGTACGTGACCCGCGAGATATATTTATTTGGAGAATATTATATTATAAGATGCAATATTCAATAAAAGTTTATAATACGCAAGAAATTGTACGATGTTCAATAAAAATTTTATAATATTCAAGTGGGGTCTTAAAGTCTCTTGTACATTAAGACTACTGACAAAATAATATTTTAATCAATGAGTTTCATTTCCTTGTAGCCAAATGTGAATGTGATTTGAGGAGTACAACAAATCGATATATAGCTGACTTGTTTTTTTCATTGTCGTTTTTTTTATAATGAATTTAAAGATATTCTAAAATATAGCAAAAATTAATTTTTTTTATTACAATTAGGAATTTTACTAAATATAAACTCTCAATCTATGGTGTTAATCAACGTTTAAGTCTAAAAAATTAGGAATTTTTACCTCTTTTAATCAACGTTTAAGTCTAAAAAACAATAGAGTTATTATAAGTTTTTTTCTACAACTTTTAAAATATTAAATATGAGCATGTTAAGGCTAGCTTGTAAAATAATTAATATATTATCCCACTAAAATATTTATACTAATAAAAATTTAATTTTAGCATATAAATTTATACCTTGATATAAGAGAAAGTAACAATTTTACTTATTATTGTTCACCATATAATATTTAATTATTATTTTATTATATAATAAAAAAAGAATATTGTTAAATAGTGAAGTAGAATTTTATAAAATTATATGAATTTTTTCTTTACAATATGGATTTAATATTTTTTATGATTTGATAATATAAGCAAATCTATACTTAACTTTGACAAATAAAACAAATAAATACTTTAGTAAGTATTTAATATATATATACTAAATACGAATATATTTGGTATAATCAAATACCAAATATAATCAAATAAGTCAAAGTGTACATTTTTATTTGGTATTTAATTTTTTTATTATTAAAATCTTTTTATTATACTTACTTTTTTAAAATAAATTAAATAAATAAATCAATTAAATAAGTAAAATATTATAATACCAAAATAGTAATGACATTTAATGCAGTTGACTTTTCTGGATAATAAATATAGTAAATAGAATATCCTTTTATATAATATAATACGGAAATAGTAATGCAATAAATGTTGTTGACTTTTCTGACTACTTAATTTGGTAAATAGTACCCCCTTTAATATAAGTATAGATTTTCCCCTCATACCTACCGTGTTATCGACATATAAATAATAAATAATTCGTAAGATGGTTACACGGATCAATCTATAAAAGAAATATATGTTTTGTTATAAAATTTGAGGGAAAATAAAAAACTCAATATAGAAATCGGATATAATAAAACTGATTTTTCTTTCTTTCTGTTTGTGTGTCACATTACACTACTTCACTTGCCTTTTATAGGCAAATTCCCATGCATTATTCAATCACACATTGCTATGCATTACACTTCTATACATTTACACATTTTTATACATTAGTGATAAGATAGCGAATGTAGCACACATTAAAAAAACTCTCTCTCTAATCCCCAAATCGCCGTCGAACCCTAGCCCCTTCTTCTTCCCCGTTCGGTTGAATTCGTGAAAGTGCCTTCCCTAGCCGGGAGCCAGGAGCCTCGTCGGCGGTAGGCTCTGGCCGGAGCGACCTTTTCATGTATTTTAGGGGTCTCCGTCCTTGCGATGGTGGAGGTGCTGGGTGGAACAGACGGTCTTCGCCGAAATTTGGCACCGATCTGAGGAGGAGTCTTGGCCTATTGGTGTCATGGAGATAGAGCGTCCGAGAGGTCTGTGGAGGGGCTGCGGCTCTGACTGTCTGGTGGTGTCGGGTGGTCGGGGTGGCGGATTCGCCGTTTTCTTGTCCCCTGAGCCGTCTTTTCCCTTGGTTCTCGAGATTGATGGCTGGCCAGCGCCTCCGATTCTGGCCAGTGGCGGACGGTGGCTGACCACCTGATTGCGGGTTGTGTTCTTGGGGTGCGGGTCCAGTTAGGCGATAGGAAGATTCTGGAGCGGCTTTCCGGGGGCGTGGTCCGATTCAGAGGGTGGTCGGCTATGGGGCTGCTGATAGACTCTTGGCTTTCTGTCAGCTATGGGAAGGGGTGGTTTATTTGTTTGTGTGTAGGTTGTTTTCGCTAGTGTCTGTGTGTTGTGCTTTATTTATAAGCCACCGTCTTACTTCATTTTTAAGGAATCTATATCTATATATCTATATAATAAGAATAACCATTTACTAAAAATAGTAGTAAAATTTTTTGGAAGCATTTAATGCACACTTTTTTTAGAAACTTTTTAAATATATGCATTAATTGCTTCCATATACATGGTTTTAAATAAGATCAAATCAGATATAACAAAAAATATTATTTTCTTAAATAATTTTATTAATATGTGTAATAATTTCATTGATATCCATTATAATAAATTACAAGATTGATTTTTCGTGATTTATGTTGATAATATTTTGGTTAAGATAAATATTATAACATATTTTAAGTTCTAACCATAGTATTAATCTTTTTAAAAAATATTCACTTTTTATCTAAAAATATTATAGGAAATCGTAACAGGTTAGGTTGAGTTTTTTCTTCCAATTAATCAGGCGAAATTAAGTTGGTGAATTAATCTTTACCAATATAATTTTCCTTAAGCTTTATTTCGTTATATATAAAAAATAAATTATTCTTCAAATTAATATAATTTACTATTTAAGAGATTGTGTTTTTGGCATTTGCTAAATTAAAGTTATTTAATTAGTATACAAATTAAATTCTAAAAAAGCATATGTATATATTTTATAAAATATTTATACACTATTTAATTTAAACTTATTTACATATTTTAAATTAATTACATAAATAAGTAATACTAATGTGCATTAAATATTTTTTATTACAAATAAAAAGAAAAAGAAGACGTACAATTTCTATAACTTTTATAAATAATAATGACATTATATGACAACAAAGTTTATAATAAAATAATAATCAACTATTATATAGTGAACAAGAATATGTAAATATGTTATTTTCTCTTAAATCAAGGAATAAATATATATATATATATATATAAATATATATATATAAATATATATATATATATATTAAATCAAATTTATATTAGTATAAATGTGTTAGTGAGATAATATATTGATTATTTTACAAGTTAGCCCTAACATACTCATATTTAATGTTTGACATGATGATTAAAAGAGATAGAAAATAAATTATAACCCTATTATTTTTTAGACTTAACACACTAATTAAAAGATGTGAAAAATAGATGATTTTTAGACTTAAACGGACATAACATGTGAAAATAATTTATTTAATCTCTCTCCCGTTGATTAAAAGATGTGGAAATAGATGACAACCCTATTGATTTTTAGACTTAAACGGACAGAGCATGTAAAAATAATTTATTTAATATCTCTCTTCCGTGCATCGCACGGAGTACGTACTAGTATAATTAAATAAAAATGAAATTTATTTGAATTACACAATTTACACTAATTCAAAATCCTAACAAGATTCGTAGTGGATCCGATAGCATATCTAGCCACTACTCAATATTTTTGGGCCTTAATGATGGATTTCAATTTTCTAGCCCATCTTACATGAAGTCACGTATAAATCATTTCAACAAATTACGATTCGCATAATTTTGTTGGCTTATCAATGTTAACTTAAGAAACATAAACTTTAAGGAACATTTATTTAATTTCCATCAAATCGCACGTCTAGATTTTGAATTAATATAAACCTTTTTCTGAAAGGCTTTTAATAATCTCAAATTCCAAAAACATAAAGGCTAAATCAAAGAAGATACAGTGTACTTACCCGTTTCATGGGTTTTATATTAAATTTAGGACATTTGGGCTCGGTTATGTTATGGGCATTTGGGCTCAGTTTCAGGTTGCATTGCTGGGTAGATTGGACGGAATATTTCAATCCAGGTAATATTGCTATTCAAAATTGTATTTGTAGCTTATTATTCATCTTATTTTTATTTAAAAAGCACCAAAAAAGCAAAATAGTTACCAACAAACAGAAAATAAAAAAAAATTAAATTAATTGTACAGCTCTCCTTAAACAGCAACCCGTAAATTATTATTATTATTATACAGTTTATTGCTCAATACATTAGAGCATTCCAACTATTCTCGGACAGTGCCTACACGAGGTTTAGCTTAAAAATAGCAAATTCAAAAGCACACACTTATTCCAAATATTTTACATATTGTATAACATTAAAAAAAAAGATTGCGTAAATATAAAGCAACATTTAGAAATGCTTTTTAGAATAAATGTGACAACCAGTCATTGACACTGCTATCTCTGTGATTTTGGTAAAGAATCAAACGATATTATTATTGCTATTATTATTTTCTGTTAAATCAAATGATGAAGTGAAAGACTAAGGAAAATTATATAGATTGTAGAATCTAGTGGTTGTAGTTTGTCACGGGTGCAACTACATTATAATGCTTAATTTGAACTAAAATACACAATTCTCAATCAGCACAAAAGAAACAACTTTCGTTTACTGTGTTAGCCTAGTGAAATTTGAGAATCCAGCCATTTTGGGCAATTACTATCAAATCAAACAAACTTTCTT